GTTCAAGGCTGCATGCAAAAACCCTCCTTAATATCAAGACAAAACCTCTTCTTCAATTCAAATTGATCAAGAAGCTCGTCATCATCAAATATTTATGCTTTCGTATTTTATGTATATGTTTATTCCTCCTAGCCTCTTTAATTTCTTAATTTGCTTATTTCATATAGAATCTATTAGGGTGTACACTGCAGGCCAATAAGTTTGGATGCATTGTACACATTATATTATGGACTAGTACATGTGGCATTTGCTTTTGGCATGTACATCTTTATCATGTTTATTATATTATTTCTGCAACAATTAAACAATAATAAAGTCCATAGAATAATTTATTATGCTGAGGTAATCAAAGTGGGAGACTTTGATAGTTAGAAACTTATGTTCTTAAATGCTTGCAGTTGTAGTAATATAAAGATGAGACATCTATTATAGGGTTAAATTATCATGAGTTGACTTTTATATGGCAACTGATCTCACACGTCATGTAAATCTTTAGGTCATTCATATATGTATGCATGCTTGGTTGGACTAAGTACACTAGATTGATTTCTCATCTAGTTACCGCCATTTATGCCACTTCCATAACCATCTATTTAACTCCCCTTTTTCCACTCCTCCATCAAAATCCATCTTTTGCTCTATTGAAAACCCAAAAATCAAGATCCAATTATCTCATCTAAAGAGTTAATTCCAACTATGTTGGCTTGGTGGAGTTTTTTAGTAAACAAGTCAACATGCCGCGTAACAATTATGTTAGTCCTGGAAAACAAAAGCATAATAAGGCAATTCAATCTAAGTCATAGCCTAAGGTAGAGAGATCCTTTATCTCCCTTCTTTATTTTAATAGTTGTGGAGGGGTTAAATGGCACAATATTAGCAGTTGTTTTAGAAGGGTTGTTTGAAGGAGTGGAGGCTAGTAGAAATGGGTTAAAGGTATCTCATTTACAATTTGCAAATGATACACTTATACTCAAGAAGTCTTTAGAAGAAACATATGAGTAGCAAAATGCATAATATAAGAACATTTAAATTAGTATCGAGGTTGAAAGTAAGCTATGAAAAGACTCAATTATTAGGAATTCACACAATTGCTGACTAGAGATTCAAGATGGCATGCCCACTAAATAGCAAACATGGGAGCTGTCCTTTAGTATATGTCATAGGGGTATCAATAAATCTACGAAGACATAGATAGGATACTCTGGGGCTTTCTCATTGTTGCTAGTAAGCCACATCTATTTATAACATCCATTCCTAGCATAGAAGAGCAAAAGGCATGGCAATGTAGTGTCTCCCATCACTACTATGCTTTACCAACGCCTCAATTTTTTGCCTTTCTATACGTCTACATGGCAGAACCAGTGTCTGAACTATCCAACATCACTTTTGTCGCTCTATTGCCTACTAAATCAATTGAGGCTGAACTTTTTTCCCCTTACCCTCATTATTACTAGAAGATATTGGCAAACCATGTCTAAATCTCTTCCAAGTTTTCCAGCAATTTGGGTTCTCCCTTCTTAACAATTCTTGCTAATTACTGAAGGGGTACATCTCCTAGGAGAGAGCTAGACACCTGTTGCTCCAAAGGTCCCTCAACTTGTTTGTTCTTTTTTCCTTACTCACCTCCCTTTTTATATTACCCACTTGCCCATGCAAATTAGACTAAATCTCAATGAATAACCATTAGTTAGTAATTCTAGTCTCTCAACAATCTTTGCTAACAATAAAGGGCTCAATTGCCAACAAGGAAGCATTTCGCTAACCAAGACTCTCTTGGCCACAAGTGATGCCATCAACTTGCCATGTAAAGGGACAATTTACTCAAACACTTCTGGCCCCCAATAATTATCTAGTGTCGCCCTCAACCAAGTTCCATAAGGTTGACAAACTTTATCTCTCACACTCTTTAAGCTTGAAGCTAATCTTACAATTAGAAACAACATGTCTTATACAGCCACAAATGAAACAAAAGTTTGGCAATTGTTTTTATTTAATCCTCAATTTCTTAGTTTCTATAGCTAAGACTTTAACATTTTTGAAATGCCTCAAAGGGCTTAGACTCTCCACAAGGCAAGTTCAAAAACTGAACACAGAATGGAGGCCTTAAAAAGTCATAATTTTCCAAGGTCATGGACTTGTCAAACAATTGTACAATAATCAATGATTGATTAAAATTTCATGGCACTTTTGGCAAAATTTGATCCAAATCATAGCTATTTGCAAATTGAAATAAGACAATCTTTTTGCCAATCTCTCTAATATGAACATTAGATCTCATTGTTCATGACCATGCAATTATACTTTGCAATCTAGTGAGATTGACTGTCCTATGAGTATGTACCTTCCTAATTAAACAAAGAGATTTAGAGGAGAAAAATGAGTCATTCCAATCAATTTCCAAGGAGAGTTTAGATTTTTCCTCCTTAGCCAACCTGATTCGGTCAAGAAGGTAGCCTAGATCCTTTGTCACCTTCCAAGGATGGGCCACAAGCCTCCCTATATATTTCCACCATTGTTGCTTGACATCTCCACCAAGATAAGAAAGAAATTAGGCCTACCGCTCGCAAAGGGATGGTAGTACTCAATGGCAAGCTAAGGGCTAAAAGCCACAGCCTCATGTTCTAATATTATGAAAGGAAATTAAGGGGAAGAAAGAAGAAGGGGGAAAAAAAAGAAGGAAAAGGGCTTTTATCAAGGGGAGAGGAAAATCTTAGGGAGAAAGTCTAATCTAACCCTAACTAGAAGATAAAATTATAGCTAGGCCCACCATTGTTAATTCCCCTATAACAAGTTGTCTTTGTTATATGGAGGAAATCTTTTGAAAGCATTCAAGAAAAAACTTTTCATTGGTTAAAGGCAAGGAGCAAAGGTTGAAAATTTAGCTTTACAGATTGGCTCCAAAATCCCATGGACTGTCAAATTGAAAGCATTGGATAAGAAGAATGCATATGTTGGGTTATCACTTTAAGGTGAGACAATGATTTCAAGTTAGCCTATATAGATTGTAAAATGGCTTGAAGATTGATGAGAAGCATTTTATATACTTTAGTTTATTATATTAGCTTGGATTTTATTACTATTAGTAAGGATAATATGTGATTTTCAATAAATTTTACATAGCTTTCATTCTTTGTGCTAAAAAGGACTTGAATGCATAATAATAATAGTTTTTGAGATTAATTGAATAACTTTTAAAAGTTAAGGGACAGAATAACTAGAAGAAAGGTCCTTTTGGGACCTAAATGAGTGAATCTTAAGATACAAGATCAAAGTCCTCATAGTGTAAAAGATGGAGGACCAGTTTTGCTATTTTACCATTGACCAAATTCCAAAAAAAGACAAAAACCCGACATGGGTATGGTGTCGACACACACTTCGTGGTGTCAACATAAAAAGCACATTTAGTTTTTGAAATTTGAATTTCCTAAGTCCTACTTCTTTTCTATCAAGTTTCTTAAACTCTATAAATACCTATTTAAAAATCAGATTTAAGGTTTTTAGAAGAGTTCAAAAGAGAAATAGCTAAGAGAAACTCAACATCAAAAGAAGATCAAAACTTAAAATTGTATATTATTATATTGGTTTTACTTGTTCTTAAATTTTGTTTATTGATGTCGGCTACTATTATATTCATCATGTGATCTTTGATTTTTCTTTCTATTAATTATGAACTAATTTAACCACTAAGGCTATGATGTAATTTGAATAATTTGATATAAAATTTCATAATTTTATATTTTCAAAGTTTATTATTTCTTATAAAGTATATATTATTGTTTTTAATGTTTTTTAATAATTGGCTATCATTAAAATTGATTTGAATAGTATAATTGAGATTAAGAGATGATTTTATTTAATAGTTTCTAATAATATATACCATGAATTGAATGAAAGTTGAAGATAGACCAACGTAATTCGTATAGCATTGGTGATAAATGTACGTGATTTTTTTACGTAAACTAAGAAATTTTACAGAATATAATGCATATTTATTTATTTAAAATTATATAAAGATATAGTTAGATAAAAATAAGTTTGATATAACTTGATAAAGTATGTAAAAATGTGGTACTTATTAATAATATTTGCAGAATTGACTAAGACTCCCATGTAATGTCAGTGTTTATTTGGATTGTACAATGACTAGGTTATTTCATTTGCACCTTGTTTTTTTTTTCCCATGATACCATGCAGTTTTGTTCATGCCTTGTTTTTTTGCCATGTAGGGAGAAGCATTAGGTGAAGAAAGGGATATGAAGTGAAAGATCAACATGACAACAAAGAAGAAAATGAAAGCTGTATGTGTCATCTAAGAGTATATATAAACACCTTGGCAATATTACTATTCTTGTTGCTTACATTGATAACTTCAGGTTTAATTAAATTCATTAATGAACTTAAGGTTTGTTTGATGTAGCTTGTGGGAAAGATTTTTTGGCTTCAAAAGCACAAGTTGCACCAAATATTACAATTTATGAAAATATTGTAACTTCTCACAAATTGGTCTTTTCTCCATTCCATTGTAAATCTCAAAAGCACCAAATTGGTGCTTCCACAAGAGCTTCTCATTTTGATTTCAATGAAATTAACATATTATTCCTATTTTACCCTCACACTTCCTTCTATTTACAAAGAAACCATTGTATATTGGGTTCCATTTATAACTTTCCCATTTCTTTCTTTCTCAAGCAGCCCAGAATCATGTGTTTCTTCTCCTTATCTTCTTGCCCATCTTTCTAAGCAAACTGGAAAATCCCCACCATCTAGTGACCGACCTTATTTCTCCCTAACTACTTCAAAGTAGAAAAGCACAACTCAACCAACAAAAAGGCCAAAATCCCATTTCTCCTTCTTCTTCTGTGTGTCTCCTGTCCTTTTTTGGTGTTTCTGCTACTAGTTTGGTGGTGATGAATGATGATTGTTGGTAGTGGTAGTGTGAGTTGGTGAAAGAGTAAACCGAAAATCCCTTCTCATTCCCTATCTTGTTCCAGATCACGACCACGAGATGACCATGAAAATCCTTGAAAATCCTCGTCTTATCCCCAAAAATCCCTAATTGCTGATACTTAGCGTGAGACGACCATGAGGACCTGGAGGATCTGGATACATTTTCAAGTAAGCTGCCCTTCTTCCCCCTCCCTTTATTTTCTTCGGTTTTTCCCATCCAAAATCCCTAATTTTCCCCCTTATTTTTCCAATCTTGATTAGTTCTGTAATGGAGTGTTCACCCATTACCACCTGTCATAACTCAAATTTTAGTAGAATTTTATTTTATTTTTATTTTTATTTTAACTAATATGTTTTGTCTTTGTTTTACTTGTTAGGTTCATTCAAAAAAATGGGGGGGCAAAAAAGGAAATTTCACGAAGAAGATTGGAAAAGAAGATGAGAGAAAGGACTCAATTGAAGAAATAGGAAGTTGGAGGGGTGAAATGCAAAGTCCAGCCCAAAACCCATCAAACCCAAACCAAAACCCAAATTCAAATCCAATTACCACCTGTCATAACTCAAAATTTAGTAGAATTTTATTTTATTTTTATTTTTATTTTAACTAATATGTTTTGTCTTTGTTTTACTTGTTAGGTTCATTCAAAAAAATGGAGGGGCAAAAAAGGAAATTTTACGAAGAAGATTGGAAAAGAAGATGAGAGAAAGGACTCAATTGAAGAAATAGGAAGTTGGAGGGGTGAAATGCAAAGTCCAGCCCAAAACCCATCAAACCCAAACCAAAACCCAAATTCAAATCCAATTACCACCTGTCATAACTCAAAATTTAGTAGAATTTTATTTTATTTTTATTTTTATTTTAACTAATATGTTTTGTCTTTGTTTTACTTGTTAGGTTCATTCAAAAAAATGGAGGGGCAAAAAAGGAAATTTTACGAAGAAGATTGGAAAAGAAGATGAGAGAAAGGACTCAATTGAAGAAATAGGAAGTTGGAGGGGTGAAATGCAAAGTCCAGCCCAAAACCCATCAAACCCAAACCAAAACCCAAATTCAAATCCAATTACCCAAAAAACCCAAAGCTCACCAACTACCCAAACCCAATTACCCAAAAAGCCCAAAATACTAAATCCATTTAACCTAAACAAACCCAAAAAAAAAAAAAAAAAAAAAAAAGGGGTGGGGGGTCCTGAAAAGGTCCCCATCCTCTCTCTCCTCCAGAACCTTCTTCTTTCCCCCTGCCCGCCAGCCATCACCGGCCTTGCTCTGCACCAACCCTTCTCCTGCGCCTGCTCTCCCCTCTACACACAGGCAATCATACCTACCACACGCCTACACGCCCTACCCCTGCACGCCTACACCTTTGCTCTGCACCAACCCAGCCGCCTGTGCCCGCCTGCTGCACCAGCTCTGCACGCCCGAGCCATCATCGCCCCTCGAACGCCCGGCCTTGCTCTACCCTACCCCCTGCCACACCTGCGCCTCTGCTGCTGCACCGAACCAGCCCCTTTGCCGCCTGCCCCTTTCTGCACCCGAACCCCCTGCACTCATTACCCCCCCTTGCTTGCTGGCTGCTTCGCTGCACCTATATGCACTCATCACCTGCCTCTTCCCCGAACCAATCGCCAGCCGATCCCGCACTCATTACCCGCTGTAACCCGATCTTGCACCTGCTTTGATCGTCTGTTCTCCTTGTCTCGTTTTTCTGCAAGTGTGGGTATAAATAGGGGGTGTTCTTGGTTGATAGGGGGCTTTTTGGCTTGTTTTTGAAGGTGGTGTGGTGTTGACGAAGGAGAACATTTTTTGGAGGTCGACGGTGATTGAAAAGAGGTTTATTTTTCTGTGTCTGTTTCTTGCTTACTTTAGGTAATCTCCTGAACAGAGGGATTTTTGGGGAAGGATAGTGAAGGAGACGAACGGAGCCCAGTCCCGTGGGTGGGATCCTTCCCTTCCGATCTGGATCTATCTCCTCCTAAAAATTCCGCCGTGGGTGTTTCTGTTATTTTCTGTTGATTTTGTTTAGAACTGTGTTTAAGTTTGTATGTGTTTCCTTGGAAAATGAATGAAAAAAAATCAAGAAAAATTGTTCAGTTCATTTTATCTGATGAACGTTTTTTTGTGTTGGTCAATGAGATTTTTTTTATGATGAATGTGTTTTTCCTTTTGAAATTGAAACTGATGAATCCTAATTGCAAGTTTTGTTTTTTGTGTTGGATGTATTTTTGTTTATTTTAAGCAGCGGGTTGTGTTTTTTTGGGTTGGGTCAACCCGACCCAATCCAATAAAAAAAAACTAAAAAGGTTAAAAAGTAAAAAAAAAAAATCAAAAGTTATTTCTTTTATTTCAATTTCCCACAATCCTTTCATGTTCAAGCACTTTAGTCCAAAAGTTTCAAATTTTTTCAAATCAGTTTTTTATTTTTTTTTATTTTAATTAAATCAGTCCATTTAATTTTTATTTGTGTTTATTCTACATGCACATTCTTGATTGTCTATTTCAGTCCAAAAATTAAAAAAAAATGTTTTGATTCGGTTTATCTTTTTTTTTTCAAGTTTACTTTTTAAGATTCAAACATAATTATAATAATTATAATAAATAAGTTGAATTAAAACTTCAATTTTAAAATATGCCTCCATATTTAAATGGAGGATTGTGAGATGTGTGCATACTTTTTTTCATTCCTAACTCAATCTTCAAACTCCAATCTTGAACTTTGATTTTTGTGCAAATATATTTTAGGTGACTTATTTTACCTTATAATTTAGAGGAGCAATGGAGATTCCTTTTCTTTTATATTTTTCATTTATTTTGAAAAAAAATATTAAGTGGTAGTTAACACCATCGGAAACGAGCACGAGGAGCTTGAGGATTTGGATCTTGGGCAATTCGATCTACTTTTGCAAATCTACAAAGCCACTACCTTAAGTAAGCTCCCCTTGTTTCCCTTTCTCTTCTTTTTGATTGAAGATTTTCTAAAGATTTTTGATTCATTATTATTATTTCTTCTTCTACTTCCTCATGTCAGATCTCTGCAGATTGTTGTTTTTAACTTCTTGTTCCTATTTTTAGATAATAAGCTTCATGGGTTTGTGGCAAAGAATTAGTAAATCGTGATGCTTGTGTGCTCTGCCTCCTGTTATCTTCTGAATTTTACTTTATTTTAGCATTTCTGATATTTAGAAAAGTTGTGGGGATCCAAGGCTTTGTTTTAGCATTTCTAAATTTACCATTTCTTTGGTTGGTGGCTATTTCAATTTCTTGTCTAGCTTGCTTTATTGTTTTTATTATAATAAATATTTATATGTTAGAACAGAAAGTGATTGCCGGGATGATGGCATCAATATGTATTAGCTTTATCTGATAATTCTCCCTAGTTTTAGCATTCTATTTTTTGTTGTGGTTTTTGCTTATTCTCAGTATATATTTGAATAGTTATTGAATTTTCAGAAGCAGAATGTATTTGTGATATTATTAGTCTTTGATGTCATTATGTGTATTTCTGTTAAGTCTTTCATATTTGGATTAAGTTGTTTCTGCATCTAAGATGCTATCCTCTGGTTTTCTTTTCTGTTAACCTTTCTACTTTTTTTTTTTTTTGCTAAATTTTGACATTACATGTTATGTTAGTGTAAGATTTAAGTTTGTTTTTGCCTAGTAAGTTGTACTTACATTATAATTTGTAAGTGATGGAGGCCTTCCCTAACCTCAGAGATCTGCATTTTACTTATTGGATTTTGCATTGACTGTTGACTCTAGTAAGCTTTCCCATTTGAAAATACCTAGAAACCGAAAATCATTTTTCTCTCTACTTGAAGTATTTCCAGCTTTCCTCCATCTCCCCATTGCCCTTTCTTTAGCATCTGAAATGAGCTTGCCTCTCGAAGTTTCTCGACTCCCAGTCTGTATCTTCCTTGTTTATTTGCTTTGTATGAAGGCACGCCTCTGCCATGCAAAATGACAAAGGAAAAATTACCTTGTACAACATGTTCTTTTAAAGATCTGGATGCTGCCACCATTTATGAGTGTGTGATTGTTAACATGTCACTTAAAACTTCTTTGTGGTGTGAATGTGACATCAAATGTAGGTTAGGTCCTGCCTCTAACTCCCCCATTCCCCTTCTCGCCTCATTTTTTCATTTTCCATTCTTTTTGTACTGTTACTTCTGTTTTGTTTTTGGATAATGCTACGTTTACCCTCCTCCATTACACACACCCACCCTTCGTTACTTTGTCGTTAACACTCAAACGCACTCGGACATCTCCAATCATTCCCCTGTTTTCTCAAATGGTCCATCACTGCCATGATGCTTTCCCATTTCTCCTAGGTCGCTGGATAGCAGGATATCTGAGGAAGAAGATTGTGTAAGAGCAAGAGCAGAGACAGAGCAATCATCAATTGAAACAATGGAGAGAGAAGCATCAAATTTGTAAAAATTTTAACAAAAATTTATAAAAATTCATTATCTTCTTCCCTTTTCCTTCTTACTCTTCTTTTTGTTTTTCTCTCTTTATCTAGGTTCTCTGAGAACCCAAACTGGGGTTCTCTTGAAGAATTCGACTTGGGTTCTCTGTCAACAAATCAAGGAAAGGGGAAGGGAAGGAAGAAGAGGGGAGGAGAGGGAAAGAAGAAGAAAAAGAAAGGAGGAGGAGGGAAAAGAAGGAAGAAGGTTAGAAATCAAAGAATCAATGCTTGGTGAAGAGGAGAGACGTTTTTTGAGCTCAAGAGGCTGGTGATTCTCATGATTTCTTTATATTTTTCTAGTTCATCATCCAGGGGGATTCTGATGGCTTTGATCAACAAGGAGGATGGTGAACAGTAAAAAGGAGAAAGGAAAGGAGAGGGAGAAAAAAAGGGCTGGGTTGGGTGC